ATATCCAGTGCTGAAGCAGAATACAGAGCTGTCTCATGGAGTTGTTGAAATCATGTGGATAAAAAACTTGTTAGGAGAGTTGGGTTTTGTAGTTAACAAACCTATGTCACTCTATTGTGACAATAAAGCTGCTATCAATATTGCTGCCAACCCAGTCCTCCATGATAGAACAAAACATATTGAAGTGGACAAGTATTTTATTAGAGAAAAACTTGTAAGCGGAGAAGTGTGCACTCCATATGTCAGTTCAGATGAACAACTTGCAGATATCTTCACCAAGGGCCTTCATCATGTGCAGCATAATAATTTGCATGGCAAGTTGGGCATGATTGACATCTATGTCCCAACTTGAGGGGGACTCTTGGAAGTTTACTTTATTTTTTTTTGTTTGTATTCTGCTGAGTTAGGGTCTGTTTAGTCTGGTTAAAAAGTAGTTTTTTATCATTGTTTATGTACTCTAACTAAAGCAGGGGCATAAGGGTCTTTTCCCTTTTAATTATGGTCAACCTATATATAATAATATAAGCTAGTGCCGCCAGCTAGTTAGTTGACTCCAAAACCTTTCTCTTCTCTTCTCCCTTCTCTCCCTTTTCTTCTTCCTTATTTCTCCTCTCTTCTTCTGTTAATAATAGCCAGTCAGGCTTAGGCCTAAAAACCCCCTTAGGCTGTGAGTTGAGTTAAGCTTTGGTTGGATGCCATCTAACTAGCTTTCACAATATGTCCCAATAGTGGACCTTTAACTTCCAAACATTCACTTGGATGGTTTAGCAAAAAACTAATGTTGTCTTAGAATACCCAAGATTTCTTGGAGATGAAGGAGATGTGAAGTCCAACCTTTACTGTAAACTATATTTGTCAAAGAAGACTAAGATAACTTGCCTTAGAATGATCTGAATATCTCATTCATCACTAATTGAAAAGTGGTTGGTGCATTAGTCAGCCCAAATGGCATGACCAAAAACTCATAACAGCCATTATGTGTTCTAAAAGCGGTTTTGTGGATATCATCAGGATGTACACAAATTTGGTGGTAACCCAGCCTGAGATCAAGCTTGGAAAATAATGTGGCAGCCTTGAGTTTGTCCAAGAGCACATCAATTATTAGGATTGAGAACCGGTCTTTCACTATAACGTGGTTCATGGCTTTGTAAAAGAAAGAAAACACTTGGTGTTTTCTTTCTTTTATACAAGGACCAAGGAAGTTTTTTTATAATAAAAAGAAAATATTATTACAAGGTAAAAAGAAAARYTAGCAAACCACTTTGCGGGCGCTAAGGTAACACCTCCCAAAGTAATACAAAGCAAACCTCCCTACCCAATTAAAATTCATGGAACAAACAATGTAAACAAGAACTTTTTCCTTCAGACACCCAAAAAAGCCCCCCAAAAGCTCCTACAATCGACCAACATCACTCCTCCCCAACAAACAAAAGAATCTTCCTGCCCTCCTTCAAGGACCAAGGAAGAATAAGGGTTGGAACTGGACTGAATCCATCCCTTTGAGAGCAAGTCTTAAATAATCTTCTCTATTTCAGATTTCTGGGAATGAGGATATCTATAGGGCCAAATGTTGGCAGGTGGGGCCCCAAGTACAAGTGGAGGAAGACCATTGTGCACATTGAAAATGCCCTAGTAGCCTTAAGAAGTTTGTTGTAGGCCCAACTTCACTTCGGATTTGGAATCTCAATGATTTGGCTAAGTAATTCTAGCTCTTCTAGGTCTGGGCCCATGTACATCAAAACCAGAGGGTCTATATGATAGCAGCATTTTAAGACCAATTTGCTTAGGTCGTATCTAGGCCCAAATAGACCGAGCCCCTTAAGATAGCACATGCAACCCTCCACGGTGACTTGCATGCTCAAATTGGCCCAATCACAAGTAACCGGGCCTAGATTGCGAAGCCATTGGACCCCAAGTGTGATACCAACTCTCCTAAAGCCCAAAGGGTAAGGGTCCACCTAGAGTCAATTTCCTTAGATCATTAAGTCAACATCAAGACAAAGGCCCTCACAAGTGATCTAAGTCATTTGACTACCATTTACCACATAGACTAGAAATGGGTCCACCAATTAAACCTTCAACTCCAGTTGTTGAGCCATCAACTTGGTAATGAAATTTAAAGTACTCCCACTATCTACAAAAATAGAAAATGAGTGATTTTTTATCATAACTTGATCCTCATTGTTTGAAGGGTGGGCATACCAGTGTAGACCTATAAGGAGATCTTTGGCATCTCCTCTTGTCTCTCCAACTCATGGCACTCTTTGGAGTCACTTCCTCGACATCATCCTCAATTTCCAATAAGAATAGTTTATGCTTCTTACATTTATGACCAGGGGAGAACCCATCACAATTGAAACAGAACCTGCATTATCATTAGGCCAACATCTCCAACCGGTTAAGCTTTTTGAGAAGAAAATTTTGGTTCTAGAAGTTAGGTTGGTGACCCACCATATCAGATCGAGTCAATAGTGTTTTCAAAATAGGCTCCTAGTGTGTGTGGATCCACGTCCACCACAATCAACTGAGGAGATCTTCATGTAGTCGAGCTAGACTAGCCATCGCTATCACCATTGCTAGCTAAAGAGCCTTCACTTGCACCTTCCCTCGAGAGGCTAATCTCTCAAATTCGTTCTGATGTTCTCAAATTAACCCAGTTTACCACCGTTCTAAAAGAGATGCATCAAAGTCTTTGCAACTAAAAGGGCCAAATCAAGCGCACAATCCTTTTGTGAAATCTGGCCAAGTCAAGTGAGAATGAGTTCTCCTTTACTATTGATACCACAAGATCACCTCTCCTTTCATGTGAACCGAAGCTACTGACACCCTCTAATGACCAAGTATCTCATTGTATTCAATGTATTCAAAGAATCGCTCCACTTAAAAGATCCATGAGATCGGATCCTCTGATGGCCAACTTGATTGAAAAATCAAGTTTGGTCAATCTGAAGAAATTTCCACATGTCCTTCTAGCACTACCTTGGCTCGAACCTTCACCTTTTTGCTCTTTTGTTTTTTGTGACAACATTGCAAGCAAACCGTCCTTAATCTCCCTCTCTCGTATACTTCCAAACACCTTATGCAACTCCACTTCAATCTTATCGACCCTATCCTCCATTGAAGCCAATCTAGTCACTGCTATCTAAAACTGGCTCTAATACCAATTTGGTGAAAACTTGGCCACTTTAGGGGTTACTTCGAGGGAACCCTACCTCTTGAAGATTCAAGAAGAGAGGAGAAGAGAGGGACAAGAAATTGCAAGGGAAGAATAGATCTCTCCTTTTCTTCATTGAACTTGCTTATATATGGTTTTCATCATGAAACACACAATACAAGCATGAGGCTAAACTAGCTTGGTCTACGTGCCTTCCTAATATAAATGTATTTGACGGGTGGGTAAGACCCTCTAGTCTATACAAGTTAAACTAGCTTTCACTCATGTTTCAACAACTTCTCCTTGGAAAGAAATTCATGAAATCTACTCTACCTTCCTCAACTCCATTCAATTTGATGTGGGACAGGGCAACAAAGTTCATTTCTAGGAAGATCTTTGGGTAGGAGAAATCCCACTTAAAGATCATTTTCCTAATCTCTATACTCTGTCAAACTTTAAGGGGGAACTGTTTCTAATTTGGGAACACCTAGTCTAAATGGGGTTAATTGGAATCTGGGTCTCAAAAGGGGCCTTAGGGAAAATGAATGTGAGTCCTTAGTTCATTTGTTGGATCTACTAGGACAAGTTCACTTGGACCCATCCTTGGAAGATTCCAGAATATGGGTAGGCTCTTCAAATGGTCTCTTTACTTGCTCTTCTTTCTTCAGTGTTCTTGCCTCGCATAGCATATCAGTTGGGGAGTTCCCTGTGAAAGAAGTTTGGAGTAAGCCTATCCTCCCAAAAATTCAAGCTTTTTGTTGGGAAATTTTCCTTGGCAAGGTAAATACTTGTGATATGCTGCAGAGAAGAAGGCCTTTTGCTTGCCTTTCTCCTCACATGTGCTCCCTTTGTAAGGAAAGTGGTGAGACCCTTTCACATTTATTAATATCTTGTTCTTTTGCGCATCACATTTGAGAGTTCTTTTGTATCCTCTTTGGTTGCAAGTGGGTTCCCCCTCAAGATGTGGCAGGCCTTTTCAACCGTGATTTCCTGAGCCAACCAAAGAAAAGAGGGATGGTAATCCTTGCATAGGCATTCTAAGAACCTGGACAGAAGTAGCTCATTGGGCAAAATCCTTGCATAGCTTCCAAGATTTCTCAGTCATAGGCATTCTAAGAACCTGGACAGAAGTAGCACAATCTTCAAGAGTGAAAGAGAAAGTAAGGATGGAGTAGAAACCTCCAGAAGGCAACAGGATTAAACTGAATTTTGATGGGAGCTCCCTTGGAAATCCAGGACTATCAGGTATAGGAGGAGCAATCAAAAATTCTCAAAGGAGGATATTGGCTTTGTTATCAAGACCGATTAGCACTAGCGATTCACTAAAAGCTGAGTTATTGGCACTGCTACAAGGGATGAAGCTAGCTAAGCAGCTAAGACTTAGGCAGATTGAGGTGGAGTGGGACTCAAAAGTGGTCATCTCTTGGGCTACAAACAATAGACTTACTCAGTGGACCTTTAAACAAGTGATTAGGGAAGTGGAAAAAATAGCAAAGGAGGTAGAGACTGAATTCAAATGGGTCAAAAGGAGTGCAAATGGGCTAGCTGACTATCTTGCCAAACAAGGGGCACTGAGGCAACAATTGTTTTCGACTGCGCTATAAAGTGGGACAGAAATATGTACTATTGTACTAAATTGGGAATAATATTCCCATCTACATGTTGTAAAACCTTATTTTAAACCTATTTTAAATAAAGCTCTCTTTTACTGATCAAAAACAAAAATCTTGACCTCCAGAAACGCTGTCAATTAAAAGAGTTATTGGAACATACAAGAAAATATTCTTCTAACAGGGAATGGAAAACATATTGAATACTCTTACTATACAGAGAGAGAGGGATTGACCTGTCACCCTTTGGTTTCCTCATACGATCTCCAGTGCTAAAGTTAGCCATGCTATATTCACAGCGAACCTGTACAAAATCAGCATGCCTAAGAAATTCCAAGGCATGAATACTGAATAAATGAAATGATAAAAGGCAGGGGGGAAAATATTACCAGTGCTTGGTCACTAATTTGTTGGCTCCTGTTTGGAACCTGATGAACAGAATAGATGTTTGATTTAATATGATACAATTTTTTAATAAATAGATATGATACAATGTTTCCTTGGTAGGAAAAGAAAGAGACTGTAGTCTATGTCCCCTCCATCTCTCCCCCCAACAAATACATATATATAGCTCATTCTATAAAAGTAGCCAGTCATTAATTCCAATTTTGACCTATTTGTCAATTTATTAGATGACTTGTTCCTAAAATACCCCCGTATACTTTTCATTCACATACCTTAGTTCTTAATTGACTCTCTTCCTGTACCTAAAGTGATCTATAATCCAACCTTCATAATATTTCTCTATAATTCTTATGTAGGATTGAGTATAACCCAAGCATCATTCTAAGAATGTATTGATTGGTTAGCATAGGGTTTAGGATGATTTTAAGAAAAATATACAGGGAACTGTGAGAGTTAGAAATGTTCTAAGCTAAATTATCAAGGACTGCAAAAATTTGAAAATTAAGCATAAGAAAAGAATTTCCCCGGTTATAAACATTGGGGACATTTGTCAAAAATGAATAAAAATATCCCTTATAAGGAAAATGCCCAAATTCCAGAAACTAGCGCTTTAAATGGAATTTTGACAATAAATTTAGTAAGATCAAAAGCGATAACAATCTATTGGGGGCTTTTGGAAAATTTTCAGCTTCTAATGGAAACTAAAGAAAAATGTAATATGGATCAACTTCAGTCCTTTCAAGGATGTAGAATGTACTTCCTAGAGGAAAAATTTATAGGCTGTTGATAGTTGTAATACTGTTTCCAGAACCAGGGAGAAGATGATGAGAAAGAAGGGAAAGAAAATACATGATCAGACAAAATCCTTCCTATATTAGGAAAACCCAAAATTATGATTTTGCCTCCCATACTCTAATACAAAGAAAACTAAATAACTAATCAAGTGCTTAACCAATGAGTTTGGAATTTTAAATATAACTGAACTATGACAACATACAAAATGACAAAAATGCCCTATCATCTAAAAATAAAAAAATACATAAAAATTCAAAAAAAATCCAACTTTTACTATTTGAATCCATTATTCTTTGTCAGTTTACTAAAGTTTCTGGAACACACTTGGACTATATAATAGGATCATAGCACATAACCAAAAAAACTTCATCAAAGCAGCATATTTGAAATACTTTTGAGAAGAGATGAAGTATGATTTCATTAGAAAATAAAAAAACTCTGTACAACCAGAGGATGTACAATAGAGAGAAAACAAAAAGAAAATCAGACCACTATCCTTTTTGTGTTTACAAAAAGATTTTCAAAATAAAAATGAGAGTAATAACTTGATCTATCCAAACAGAATTGAGATGCTGACGAAGAGAACAGATTGCTCACTACTTTCTGCCACACTATATCAACTTGACAAACTTTGTTCTGAAAAAACCCTTGAGTTCCTTTCTGCCATACACTGGAATCATTTGCAAAATTTCTTTTCCATTCTTACTCAGACCTTTGATCCACCAGCCTTTCAAAAAGCCTTCAATAGATGCTGGACAGGATCCCTTAAGAGCAAAGATCTTAGAAACTATCACCCAAATGACATAAGTGAAATTACAATGCTATAGCAAATATTGACAGACTCTTCCACCCCATTGCATAGGACATGTTATGCTGAATCAAACGTCATTCCTCTAATTAACAGGTTGTCCTTAGTCAGGAACTTATTCATATAGGTAGACCAGACAAAAAAAAAAAACACCTTTGAGGGGACATATTTGCACCAGATTATGCCCATAGGAAAATCCTGCTCCTGTTCCTGGGTTAATTTGTTATAGAAAGATTTTACAGTAAATTGCCCAGATTTTTCTTCCTGCCAGTCTTCTATCTTCTCATGTGGTGTCAATTTCCAAGCTGTAGAGTCTCTGGAACAGACCTCCAAAAGGTTCTAACTCCCAACCATTCAAATCTCTTCTAAAAAGGGGAATCCATACACATTCACCATTTGAGGACTGCATATAGTGGGCTACTTTGGCATCTTTATCAACTGCAATTGTGAAAAGCTCTGGGAAATCATCCATCAGGCAATGATGGCCACACCACACATCTTTCCAGAACTTGACTTTGGCTTACCTTTCCACATCAAACTTAACTCCTTTGCTAAAAAACTGTAGCTTTTTTTCAATTCCCTTCCACACCAAGGAGCCATAAGATTGATTTGCTTCTCCARGATCCCAGTCCTCATTTCTTATGCTATATTTTGCTTGAATGGCTCTCTTCCACAGGCTACTCCTAGTGGGTGTCGAATCCAACCAAAGATAAATGTCCTGCTCAAATTAAATATTTTTGTAGATAGTGATGAGCAAGGTCGTCTCCACAGGGATTGGGTGGATTTATTTCCAAGAGAAAAGAAAATAGAGGGGTTGTTATAAAAGCAAGGAAATAAAATAAAATAAAATAAAGCAAGGATTAAATCG